CCACAGATGCTTTGCATCTGCTTCTTATAGCTCCTTGAGGTTAGTATCAAGCAAGGATAACTATGTTTTCAAGTTAGATCTCCTGAAACTCCCCAGTCCACTCACAGAATTTATGTGAATTTAGGCTTCAAACTTGTACAAGAATGAGCTTGTTTTGCATTCCCAGGGAAGACTTTTATTTCCCAACGTGTACCCCCTATCTAGCTCTGAGGACCTGCTTATTTTCCTAGTTGATCCACTGAAGATGTACACTTGAAGGATTGTGGCATTATGCTGGAGGGGATGAAGTCTTTAATAAGAGTTCATTGCAAGGCACAGCCTGCAATGATGCCCCCCTACACCCTCAATGCACAAAATTAAAATCTGGGCAGTAGCATAACAGGAGGCAGCTGAAAACCACTCCTGCCCTACCCCCAAGACACACATTCGTGTGATATTTTATCATTTTGCATTTGCTGTTTTTTGTTTTTGTTTTTTTTTTTTTGGTAGTTTCTGGCCTTTTCTTGCCAGCCCAATCATGCATTGAAAAAGACTGACTACTCTCTGCAGCACTGTTAGGCATTTTTCTGAATCTATGGTCAGCCAGATGACCCCGGCTTCTACTTCTTTAAACCAGGAGTCATATGCAGTGGATGAAAGGGGAAGAAGGACTTTGCTCGACAGTGGAAAAGGTTTCAAACAGTGTGAAAATGGGAAAGCAAGTTAGAGAAGCACCAAGTAATAAAGCAATGATACATCCAGGAAAGTTCATGGTATAGGAAGAAATTACTTGGTAAGACTTCATAGCACCTGAGCTATATAATAGTCTCACATCTGATACATATTAGCCATGTAATTTTGGACAAATCACATCCATGTCTACCTATTTCATGGGGGTTGTGAAAATAAATGTTACAAAGTGCTTTGAAAATACCAATTGCATAACATATAAGGCATTATAATCATGTCTTCTGTTACAGGTATGTATCTGAAACTTCAGCTTCACAGATGATTTCAGGAGAAATAAGATCAAGATAGTGAAAAAATTTAGTAGATTCAGACAAAAACAGTTTATAGTCAGTTATGGATAAAAGTCAAACATTGAGCTAAACCACTATTTCTAGTAAACAGTAACTGACTCAGGATATGAGCCTTGTCTTACAGACTTTTCTATTTTGTAGAATTTGTTGAAACTAAATTAGCAAAGCCCTAATTAGTATGGGCCATTTGCCATGAGATAAAAATAGTTTCATTAAACAAAACTCTATATTGTATGAAATCTTTTAGGCAGAAAATAGATTCCAGACAGTATATAATTTACCTCAAATGTTCATCAAAATAAAGTTAACCTCTACATTTTAGATGACTAAATATTTTCTAAATTTTGACCTTTTTATAAAGTGTCATTCAATAATATAATCACCATTGTTCTAGTTGCTAGAGATAAAAATATGTAAAATATTCCTTCTTATCCTCAAGGAATTTCTATTTTAGGTGGTAGAAGTATGATTTCCACTTCTGTGGGAAATCAAAGAACAGAACAAAATCAATGAACCTGCAAGTTGACTTGCAAGTTATTTGAAGTATACCAATATAAGAATACATCTACTGGTAGGGACAATAATAGCATCCATAAATGTAAGAGTTAAGATTTTGAATTTAATTTTCCTAGCTGTTTTGGCATTGTGATTAAGTCACTGTACTTTATCCTGATTAAGCAACTGGCACTCCTAAGATCAAATTGGAAGTAAGAACTTCAATATGTTGAAGATGAACTCATTGATTTTGGCATGCATCGCAACACTTCAAGATGGTATACCATCAGCTCTCATTAAAAAAAAAAAATTTAGATTCAGGAGGTTCACATGCAGGTTTCTTACATGGATATACTGTGTGATGCTGTCAATTCTCCTTTTAAGTCGTTCAACATGTTCTAATGGTAGACAGAATCAATTTTATCAGTCTGTTTTAAATATTGAAGTCTTCTCCGGTAAAAGTCCAGGAGTGTGAACCTTTCTCTGGTAAAGCTCATGTCCTACCTATCCTGCCAGAAGTTCAATATGTGTTTTTAGATTAGTGTACAAGGTGGTTTTCTCCCCTCTCTCTCTCAACTATCGGTTTCCAGGAGGTTAAGTACAAAACACTGAGAAGCTCAACTGTTTAAGAAAGGGCTACTTTCCTTCATCTTATTTCAAGTATAGACACACACACACACACACACACACACACACACACAAAGTCCTTCTTTTCAAAAACATGAGTTTTAGAATATCTGCCAAAATGTATTCAAAGTAGTAGGGTTTGTTTTACTTTTTATACTGATCCACAGTTCTTTATAACTAAGTCCTGAAAGCTACTCTTAGTGAGAATCAGAAAAAACAAATGCTTTAAATAAGTGAAAAGTAATATGGAATTGGTATTTAATACGGCATACAGTAAAGACAGAGTGAGTTGGTTATCAAGACACACACAACTATTCATAAAAGATACAGGGGCCTTTGGTTAAAAAAAATTAAACATCAGTTAAGTCTTATATTTATTACCACATAGGCTTTCCCTTCCACTTTGCTATAATATGAAGAACTCACTAGGAAAAAATTAATTCAGAATGATCAATGGGAAGTATACTTCCAGTTATCTGGAATTGATATAAAAATTTGAACTCAAATACTCTCTTAAATACAGGTTCCTGGCGATTTTCTGTAATGAAAAGAGAAATGATTTCTGGTTAAGATATCTCCTTTCAAATAGGCTTTCAAAAAAACTGACAATTTGTTCTCTTAAGTACAATTGTGTCCTAAAATCGCTAATTTGATTATAAAAAGAAAGGACAAACAACTCACACCCTTTTTAGCAGGCATTACAAAGGAAAAAAGCTTTATCCCAGCTTCTTTCCAAATTATGTTTTTCAGGTTAATAGAGTTTCATCGTTTTAAAAAAAGTACATCACACAAACATTTAACAGGAAGACTTTTAGACTTTAAATTCTTCCTCACTAGCTTGAGTATTAGCTCAAAGTCTGAAGACCCAATCTAGATACTCTGTGGATTCTATGCTATATAAGCTTACCTTCAGGATTTTGAGCTTAAATATATATCCTTTTTTGTGATGGTGTTTACCCACTTTGTGCTTATCTGAGCGAGCTACTGACTGGGAGATGGTAAAAAGGGAACCTTCTGGGACACGGAAAATGCTTTATATCTTAATCTGGGTGGTGGTAACGTGGGTGTATACAGATGTAAAATTTCATCTAGGTGTGCATTTAAGATTGTGGACTTTATGGTATATGTTATACCTCAAGAAGTAAAAAAGAGTGTTTAATCCACTTTATGAAATGCCTACCAACTATTTTACAGTGAATCATTCATACGATTTTGTAAATCAAAATGTATAGGGAAAAAACAAGTCATCTGATGCCCCTGGCATAAAAATCGCTAGTCACTTTCAGGTAAACATCTCAAGCTGGAGTAAAAGCTTCAGTGTTGAGAAGTCACTAACACACTATCTGAAATGGTGGCAGGAAGATTACAATGTATCAGTTTAAGTATAAAGGGTAGAAGTGTTACAACAGCTTAAACGACAACTAGATTAGAACATCCTCAAATAAGTGACACGACTATGGCATCATTATCTCATTTGTGATAACCTATGCTGCTTATTTCCGCTTACTGCTTTGGGGTTTTGTCATTGTATTGTTTGGACTTTTAAAGGATGGAGAAGGAAAATAATAAAAGTTAAATTAGTTTTGTTGTTTTCAACTATTGTTTTTAGTGTGCTAAATAGTTGACGTTATGACTGACTTTAAAATTATGCATTCTACTTCCTATTTATTAAACGAGAAAAGAGTTGGTTTATGTAGGAAATATAAACACTTAATCTACGTCATTTTAAAAAAAATTTTTGCTTGGAACTATATTAATTCCATCACCTCGAAAAAAGCCTTTGAGAGGATTAGCTGCATAGGCCAATATTATTCTATATTAGTCTGTATTAAGCATATGATGTCACCTTGCTTCCTCCCCTCCTCAAGCTTTTCTTTTGGTGGGAAGGAGGACTTTCTTGGGGGAAATTCTCAAAATATTATGGCTTAAATACCACAAGCTGACACACATGATTGACAATCTTACACTCCCAAACCTGTTTGAAATGGGTCAAATACCTAAGCGCTGCAGAACAATGCAATCCAACCAGCAATTCCCCATAAAAGAGAAAGGGGGTGTGATTAGGTTCCAGATATTAAGCAAGTTATTGCAAAAACAGTTTGGTGATTTTGTTTCTGCAATAGGCACAGGTTGAGCTAGTATTTTTTTCTCTTAATAAGGTCCAAAAAAGACTATGCTATAGGAGGTAGGATAAACCACTAAAGCATGAAGCAACTGGGACAAACATTAAGGGCTTTATGGAAGTCCTTATCCTGATCCTCAGCATTGGTTATTGATCATCAACCCTGCTGGGGAACTATCGAACGAAATTTGCGTGAGGCTTATCGAGCCACAGGAAAGGAGATGCAGGAGGGAATATAAGCTTCTAATAAAAGAAACGCAGCAACAATAGCAGAGGAACAGCTCTGCCTGGTGACGTAATGGCTGGCAGCAGTCCAGCTTCAGCAGAGCTGCTGCTACCTCAGCATCCAACCTCCCTCAACACAGTCCGGCTTCGGCAGAGCCACCGGGGCTGCTACTTCTTGAGATGCCACTTTGTTGGTGCCACCAACGCCTTACCTCAGAGGGCCAGAACACCAAACAAAGGGTTCGTTCCGTTGCTGTTTTAAGTTGTCAGACACACACACTCTCACTCACTCACCCCCTAGCCCCGGACCCCTCAGTAATCGAGCCAATCAGCCACTTAAGTTTAGGACGAAAACACTGGCTCACACTCCAGGTGTGCCTCAGTTTCTCCAGGCTGGTTTCCAGTCCGCCTCTAGCTGCCCACCCCCCCGCCCCCGCTGGTCCTCAGCGGGAGTTGATCCCGGCGGCCCCGCGTACCCGCCCGGGCCCCACATGCCGGCCCTCCTGCCTTACCTCCGCCAGGTAGAGGTTGAGGAGACAGAGCGTGGAGAACTGGAGACAGGAGGGGAAGCAGTAGAGCAGCCAGTGGGGGAAGAAGTGCAGGTGAGCGGGCGGCCGGAGCAAGGGCAGGGAGCCGCTGAGCGAGAAGGCGGCGGAGAAGAGGGTGGTCCTGAGCGCTGCCCATAGGAGACAGAGGAAGAGGCAGAGGCTCTGGTAACTCAGCCGCCGCTCGCGGTACAGGAGCAGCCGCCACAGCTGCAGGTAGGCAAAGGCGAACAGCGCGGCGTAGAGCAGGGCGTGCAGGACGCTCAGCGCCAATTGCACGGAGCCCGGCACCGCGGCGCCTGAGGCGGCAGCGACGGCGCCTCCGCCTCCGCCGCCCCCGCCGGGCGTGGAGGGCTCGCGGCCGGCCGCGGGGGCCGCAGCGGCCGCCGGACCCGGCACGGACACCCTCATGAGGGGGCTGGGGGCCGGGCGAGCGAGCGCGGGAAGGAAGGGGCTGGACTCGGAGCCGCCGTCGAAGGGGAGAAGGACTGCCCCCTTACCCCCCACCCACCCCAGCCTCTAATCCCAGGAAGCGCCGTGACGGGACCCGGAGTCCCGCGCAGAGCAGCCGCGGCTCCCCCCGACCCCGCCTCCTCTTTCCCCCCACCCCTCGGGGGTCTCGGCTCCTCCTGCTGCGGCTCGGCTCCGTAGCTGCAAAAAACAACTCTCGGCTGGAGACAATCAGCTGAGAAACCCGAGCATTTGAGGCGCTCGCTCCGCACTGTGGGCTCGCGCCGATTGGCCCGGCCAGGCACGCCCCCTGAGCGCCGTGCTCGGAAGGCCACGGGCCGCCGTACCCGTCGCTCGAGGGCCCCGAAATCTGATTGGGGGCTTAATTTTCCTACTTTCTCCCTCCCCTGTACTTCCCACCCACGCTGCTGATTGGACCTGCTACTGCACCGCCCGTTCGCGCCGGCGGGAGGACTCTGTAATCGTCTGTCACTCTCGCTCCGCCCACCGCGCTTCCCATTGGTTAGAGAATACCTCACGTAGGGAGCACGAGGAGAAGGAGGAGCTTCGCAGGTTGTTTTTTGTCCGGGAGGCCGACTCCGTCGAGTCGGTGGCGGCCGCAGGCTGGGAAGGAGCGGTGCTACGCCTTCGCAGGTTGGCGAAGTGGTTCCAGGCTACCCGGCTAGTCTGGCACGGCCCCGCCTTCTGCCTCCTACTCCGTCGCGTGGCGGCGGGAACTGTTGGCCGCGCGGCCTCAGGAACGGCCCAGGTCCCCGTCCGCAGGTCCCGGGCAGGTAGGTGGCAGCGCCGGTCCTTCAGGCGGTGGGCTCTGCCTGCAGACCCGGGGGGATTCAGACGAAGCGGCTTTCTGTAGCCAGGGCTGCACTGCAGAGCTCCGGAGTCTGACTTAGGACACCCGCCTCTGGGGCACTGAAGGGCCTCACCTGGAGCCTCCTGAGGGCGTTTTACCTTCTGTTTTAGCTGTATGAACGGCGGGAAACACCGGAGCCCTTTGTGGGTCAAGGGAATGGAAAGGGGCAACGGGGAGAACCGGAGCTCTTAAGTGAAAGACACTTCCCTCCTAAGGGATATGTCTCTTAAGGAGGAGTAATAGTAGTGTCAGATGGATGTTGAAGCGATCTGTGAGCAGGGGGAAGCTCGTTCTTTCAAACGTAGAATTTGGGAAGATGCTCTGGGCTTCAGTTTTGGGAAAAAGGCAGAAACAGACTTGTAAGTCTGATGATTGCCTGGAGAAGAAGTAGAATATTCTGTACTGTTTAAATTCCACATGTATTGAAGCCCTTGGACCTGTGTATGGTAGATGGTGGCGCTATTCCTGGGGCTGAGAGAGAAAATACATGCTATGTTACTGCTGTAAAGAAGCGAGGAATAATCACATAGACTAATGTATATTAGGCCGGCACATAGTTGTTGATTTTTTTTTTTTTTCCTATTTGGGAATAAAATTAGCAAGTAGTGCAAAATTAAGAGGAAATAATTTGTTTTCTTTAGAATATACAGCACATTACGAATTCAATATCCTTGTGAAAGACATTGCCACGTCTATTGGAGCAACCAAGACCCAGCTTTCCTTACCTCACCATCCTTTGTCCTATGCTTTTTTGTTTTTCTTTTTTCGTGCAGGGTCTCGCTCTGTCACCCAGGCTGTAGTGACAGTTCACTGCAAACCTCCACCTCCTGGGCACAAGCAATCCTCCCACCTCAGCCTCCCAAGTAACTGGGACTACAGGTACTGGCGGCACCATGCCCGGCTGATTTTTTTTTTTTTTTTTTTTTTTGGGAGAGACGAGGTTTCACTGTATTGTCCAGGCTGGCCTTTGTCCTATGCTTTGCCCAAGAAGAGTGGTGCTCTCTTTTTTTCCTAGCTAAGTATTCCACAGGGAACTTTAAAGTCTATTTTGTAGAGTCTGGGATAGTCGTTTGTCCAGGTACCAGATACTAGTGTGGTTCGAGTTCCTTAGAGGTTTGCTGACAAACTAGTAGTAGATGTACAGGCCCGGCACTGTTACCTAGACATCCCTCAGATGAAACGTTCAGCTGAGCAGGTAGAGAGTGCAGTGTATGAGAGGGTACGGCTTGCTCTAATAAGTTAATAGGCCTAATCCAACATCTCTGCTTTGGAGCAGGATTTTGTTTATTGGAACGTAAGAACTTCATCTCATGTGTTTTTAGAGAATGTGGTTAGGGCAGGACACAAGTCTCTTCAAATAGGAGACAGGATGCTCATGACAGCAGTGATGTAATTGATTGCAGTAATGTGCTTAAGCATTTAAGCATAAAATCAGAGTTGTGTGGTTTTAGGCACTTGTCAAAATCAAGGGCACCGCATATTCTCTGCCATGGCCTATTTGCATCTTCCATAATCATTGATGTGCACATTTCAAGTCATCAATAGACTTTTACTATAAAAATGTTTTTCTCCTGTATTCTCTGCTCAAAGTGATAGTAAACATCTGGATGGTACCTATACTAATTTTAGGTCTTTGTCTGTGAGACTTACCTGCCACCTGCCATGTGTCAGTAAAAGCAAATCTGGATAGCCCCCTCCTTTCTTCTTTTTTGGGGGATGGGAGTGTGTGTATAGAGTTGCGGGGTGAGGGTGCAGGTAGAGGATTTTTCTCCCAACTGCTTTGAAAAGTCTCTAAAGGGGAGAGATGTTGACCCCTTTTATTGCCTCCTTGGATCTGAAATGATAAACTGTGTTGAGATCTAATCAACATTTTATTTGAGGCTGGTTCAGTGAGCAGGTTCTGTTCTCCAGTAGCAGCATTAAACTAAGCAAGCTGACTTCAGACAATGTTCTTAGGCGTGAACTTTGTAAGCATTATATGCTCCATTTGTTGCAAAATAGGAAGTGTGTCTTTTTCCTGAGTATGATGGCCACAGATGTTGATACAATTTATTTAATAGTTATAGTTGTTAATTTCCTTCTTTTCTGAGAGGGAAAGCCATTAATTTTATGGTTAATCATAAGGGAATATTAGGCCTGTAAAGGGGGAACTAACCAAGGGTTTCCTAGAAAAGCTTGGTGTCAGTTATTCTAAAATTTAAATGTGTCCAAATGCATAAAGATTTAATATTGTTGTTCTGAGAGGACAGATGACCCTAGCATAGTAGTCTTTCAACCATTTAAAAGCAGAACTGTTTGGGTCGGGCACGGTGGCTCACACCTGTAATCCCAGCACTTTGGGAGGCCGAGGCGGGCAGATCATGAGGTCAGGAGATCAAGACCACCCTGGCTAACACGGTGAAACCTTGTCTCTACTAAAAATACAAAAAATTAACAGGGCGTGGTGGTGGGCGCCTATACTCCAAGCTACTCGGGAGGCTGAGACCGGAGAATGGCGTGAACTGGGCAGGCGGAGCTTGCAGTGAGTGGAGATTGCACCACTACACTTCAGCCTGGGTGACAGAGCAAGACTGTCTCAAAAAAAAAAAAAAAAAAAAGCAGAACTGTTTGTCAATTACTATTGCATATGGTACCCTATACCAAAATGGGATTGGTGGGGCTAACGAGGGCTACCACCTGTTCTACCTGCCTCAGGAACACAAAGGCAAATCCTTATACTGTCTCCTTACTAACAAGAAGTCTAGCATTTTCTCTTGAAGTACTTCCTTCTTGATGTCCTTTGGAGCTTAACATTCGGTTGCTGAACAAAGCACACTTTTATCGCCTTTAACATTTTATGTGCATGCTTTAGCCCTTTTTCTACTATTGTCTCACAGAACCATTCTTACAGTGTGGTTACCCTCTTGTATTAGTCTTTAGTTACATGTCACTCATTCTTTCTATTATTTAAATGAGCTGTGCAAACATTCTTCTTTAGGGATGAGACAAAAGTTACATCTTACATGCCAACTCTGATCCATGCTAGCAGGACCATTATACTGAAGAATTGAGGGCCTCTTCCAGCCCAAAGGCTCAAAGTCTACATGTAGCTGGGAGGTGTATCGGTAGTATTGGCAAACATGCTATGGAAAACATTTACCTGTGACTTTTCCTGTCTCTTAGTATTGGCATCTGTTGTGATAATAGTCAAATTGCATTTTAAAGAGTCGTCTTATGTTCAAGTCATAATCCTTTTACCCATTACTAAGACCAGGTCTATTAATAGTGCTAGACTGGGTTATACTGTGGAAACGACCCCGAAACATTAGGAGTTTAAAATCATAGTTTATTTTGTTTTTTTCCTGAGATGGAGTTTCACTCTTGTTGACCAGGCTGGAGTGCAATGGTGCAATTTCGGCTTATGGCAACCTCCCCCTCCTGGGTTTAAGCGATTCTCCTGCCTCAGCCTCCTGAGTAGCTGGGATTACAGGCACCTGACACCAAGCCTGGCTAATTCTTTTGTACTTTTTAGTAGGGTTTCACCATGTTGGTCAGACTGGTCTTGAACTCCTGACCTCAGGTAATCCACCTGTCTCAGCCTCCCAAAATGCTGGGATTACAGGTGTGAGCCACCACGTCCAGCCTAATAGTGTTGGAGGTAGAAAGAATGGAGGTCGTAACCAACTCAGTATACCACTGGAGGCGAACAGCAAACTGTTCTCATGAAGCAGGTTGTTGGCAAACTGACACACTGTGTCTGCCGCCCAGAAGAAGGCTGAGGCCAGTCATGCCCCAGGCGCAGTGCTTCTTGTGATTATCTGCAGGAACATCTGAAGCCTGTTAGCAATCATGTGAACCTGTGATAAATCAAGCAGCTGACCAACCTTTACCTGCTGCTCCCTGTTCTTGCTACCCAGTAAATATGAAGGGTTGTGGAAGCTCAAGGCCCTTATTCACTAGAAGCAAGGAGCCTCCTGACCCCTTCTTTAAAACAGCTTATTTTGTCTTTATTTTCATTTCTGCCTTTGTTCCCCCTTCATTCAGTCCCGTAGTAACTGTCACATAATAGTTTATTTTATATTGGATCAGCTGGGAGCTTTTCCCCATGGTGTTCTCTTTCTGGGACTTGGGCTGACAGAGAAGGCCTAATTTTGAGTGTTATCAGTGATCATGGCAGAGGGAAAGTGTGTTGTGATTCATTGCACACGTATACTGACTCTTAAAAGCTTCCAGAAGTACATGTCACCTTGCACATTTCATTGGCCAAGTCATGGCCATACCTAACTCAAGGAAGTGAGAGGTATAATTTTAACGTGCAGAGAACTAGAAACATTTGAACATTCTCTCTTGTCAACAAATGCTTTCCTTTGTACATGTAGTTCTTCCTTGGCTTTTCCTGGTGGAGGTAATTCAGAATTACCATCTTCACTACGTGAAGCCTGAAGTTCAGGATCCCTGAGTAATGCCCAGCAGTGGTCACCTCTTTACTGGTCTAGATAGAAGTTATCTGTCTGCCAGCCCCTGTTGAATACATAAGACAGTGTTGGGAGAGAGAACTATAAGTGTTCCTGTTTGGAGAGAGGAAGAATGGAAAACACACACCAGATTCTAGATTGTAGCAATCTACAGTTGAAATCTCTCTGGGCAAATGTTGCTAGGGCTCTAGTTCTGTTCCCTGAGTTCTCTGTGCCAGTTGAAACAACAACAACAACACTCCTATCTAACACAATAGAAATGAATTACAGGAAAAATGAAATAAAGAATATCAAATTTCAAGCCCAATTTAAAAATTTCTAGATTCAATAAACATAAAATTACTGTGTGAAATTGCTATAAAATGTTCTAAACATTTACACTCCATTTCTGTATTTATGTCATTATTTTAGACCAGTAACAAATCGTTCTTACTCTTCACATGCCCTACAGCATAGTTCTCCGTGGTCCTTGGCTTTGCCCTGTGTGAGGTTCTTCTGTTTTTATTATTCTTGGCCACATCTGAAATTGGCTTTGGAGCATTTGGCCTCTTTCTGTGTCTGAGCAGTTTTGTCAGTTTGCTTTGTGACCATGTTCCGGTGGGCGCCTAAGGATTGTTTTAAGTTTTGAACATCTAGTCTTTTGGATGGCAGTTCTTCTCTGAGTATTTTTCTTTTAATACCTGGTTAAACACCACCAACAGCTACCATCACACAGTACTAATCTATCTTCTAACCTCTTCTTTTAGGGCTATAAATAAGTTCATTAGCCACAGGAACCTAGGTACATATTCATTGTAAGTTAATCAGGTACATGTCACCTCCAAACTATTGTAGTGACAGTTTTATCAAACTTGTTAATATGGATCACTTGCTGAGCTCCAGTCTCTGATAAATGTTTCCTTGAGTAGGCCTAGAACAGTTTCTATGCTGCTTGACCCCTAACCCAGTGTTTTGGAGTCTTTGTCAAGGTGGCATCTCACTTCTAGTTTATATACAGGTTAAGAGAAAATAGTTTATGCTGCTATAATAGCCCCTGCCATCTCAGTGACAAAACAACAAAGTTTATTTCTTCCTCTGTCACATGCTTATTACACATTAGCTAGGAGTTCTCTGTTATGCTTATGCTCATAGAATAGGCACCATTCGGGCATTTCTCTTGATTGCAACAGAAGACAGTAAAGCCTGGCCTTATTAACACTAGCTGCCGAAACTGTTGCCCAAAAGAGACAGATGTCACTTTTGCTCACATTTTCTTGGCCACAGTAAGTCATCTGGTGGTCTTAACTAACTTCCCCAGAGGTGGGGGATGGAGGGAGCTTCAGTGTAATCAGTAACTGCAAGGAGAACTAGAACTATACTAACGGACTGTCACACCAAGATAATATGGCCACATTTCTCCAAAGGTATTCATCACTTGGTTTTGATACCTAGATTTTTGTGGTATTAATTTTTGTTGTTGTTGTTGTTGTTTTGTTTTTTTAGACAGGATCTTCCTCTTTCACCCAGGCTGGGGTGCAGTGGCGTAATCATGGCTCACTGCAGCCTCAATCACGATCCTCCCATCTTAGCTTCCCGAGTAGCTGGGACTACAGGTGTGTGCCACCATGCATGACAAATTTTTTTTTCTTACTTTTAATAGAGACAGGGTCTCTTATGTTGTCTAGGCTACTCTTGAATTCCTGGGCTCAAGTGATCTTCCTGCCTCGGCCTCCCAAAGCGCTGGGATTATAAGCATGAGCCACTGTGGCTGGCCAAGTATTGTTTTTCATTCCCTTTTCTAATTACTGGAGGTTAAAAAAAAAAAAAAGTCACTGAGTACCTTTTGTATCTTTGTTTTCACTGTGCTCTTGCCGATACTCTCTTTCTCCACCCACATCCTCTTGCCTTTAGTTAAGATCTTTATATGAGGACCGCATGTCTCTGAGCAAATGCGTTTTATTTTGCATGCATGTGAAATGTCTACTCTTCCATGGCCCTACAAGGTAGATATCCTTCCCCAACTCCCTTGCCTCCATTTCTTCTTCCTTAGAACCAATTACTTTTAACTGCTCACTGTTTGTTTTGGCATTGACCTTCCTATTTTCAATAAACTTAGTTTTGGTTTTGTGAAAGTTGAAAATTTAGTTCTCTTTTCATTTCTTTTCCCACCCTAGCTGCATGTTTCCTTATTTTCTATCTTCCCTTTCTCTCAACAGTTGTTATGGTTTTGCTTAAATCATTATTCAGTATTTATTTCATTATGAAGACATAAATTCTACTTCTAGCTGACCCATGTGGTATTCTTTGCTTTAAGTAATTTTTAAAATAATCAAATCTTACCATAGATGGAGCAAACTACAGAGATTACTACTGAGTTCCTAACTCTAAACATATGTTAGAACAATCACCAATGTCTCTAACTGATTAAAAGCACAGTACTTTCACATATATAATCTGGTTTGTCCAACGAGATAGAAGATATGGAAAAATATTTAAGGATTGGCTGTCTGGTTAGACCTTTTGTGCTACAAAATACATTCTAGGGGAAAAGAGTAATGTGTTAACACTAGTGTCCAATTTCGTGTTAAAATAGTTAAATTATAACCTAGAGGCCAGGTAAGATGATATTCTATACTCAAATCTTTCACCTGTGCTTTTCGTGTTGTACAGTTTAATTAGGTTATAGTTATTTCATATACAGTAATGAACGTTATATAGTTATTCCCTTAGCCTCAGAAATGCATTCATTTTCTCCAGAATATGAAGAAAATAGTGGATGACCTATTTTAAAACATCCCTATTAATATAAAGTATCTTTAAAATAGGCTGGTTTAAAATGGTTATAATGTATAATCAATTTTAATGGCAATGATATTCTTTAATTATGTCATTAAAGTTACATTTTTATATACCTCTTATAGTTCTTGCTTGTCATTTTCCTTTGCGTTTTTGAACTCTTGACTCATTAAAAATTGATGGCAAATTTTTTCACTGATATATACTATCTCTGATGAACAGAATTATTAGGAAATAACCAATGAGTAATTGCTTCATTTTTTTTTTTTGAGGAACACCGGCTTATTAGGGAGAGATACTATATGCGTATTGATAATATTGAATGAGCAGAGGAAATACTCAATTGAATATGATTTTTCATACATTTCAAATTCTTTATCATTTTTTTCTTTGCTGAAAAATTCTACCTTTAGGAGCATATAGAAATAATCTTTTGCTGTTTTTTCCTATTGCCTATTTTGAGATAGTGAGCTTACATTTGAAAGAGATGGGTCCTGTTTGAAATTTTAAAAATTCTAACACAAAATTTTCACCTATAGCTGTGGCTGGTTTTATATTATACTATTCTTTCTAAACTTTCTTCTTTTAAATGTAGATAACATAGATCATCAGTAGAAAACTTCCTGAAGTTGTTCAAGAAAAATTTGAAAGTAACAAAATAGAAAACAAAGAGAATTAACAGCAGATACAGAGGACAACATGGAAGTAAGTACACCAAGAAAGAAGATAAGAGGAGGATGTCTAGAACAAATTTGATTTCAGAACATAGAGTTGAATTAAAGTATGAGTTGAAAAAGATATTTAAATTTTTAAGCAGTATAAAGAAATCTAAGGGTTAGGCATTACAAATTATGTATATTTGGAAGGAATGTTCTTCCATTGTTTTAATAGGTTTCTTCTATGGGATTTAAAGTAAAAGTAAACATATTAGGCATATTTTGGATGTCTGACTCCCATCTAAATGGTATTAAATAATTACTTGATTATTTCTCATAATCAACTATAGATAAAAACAAAATGCCCAATTAAAAATGGATTGATTAATGTTTGAGAATTAATTTTAGAACCCTTGAAAATGACAATTAGCTTAACTAAATACTCTACTAAATTAAGCATTTTCTAGATAGCTTTGGTATCTTTTGTAAGTATCAAAAATCAATAGTATTATCAAGTCAGTGTTGTTACATATTGTCCCCCCTCAAATTTTTACGATAAAGTACTAGCAAAATCAAATGATGTGACTAATGACAACTTTCTTTTTGCAGATTTTATTCCATTCATTCATTTAACAAATTTGTTCAACAAACCATCGTTGAATACCTTCTCTGTGCCAGGTGTTGTCTTAGGAAACAGAACACAGCAGTGAAAAAGCAGTCAAAAATCTTCCACTCATGTGCAGCTGCAGCTCATGATGTCTTCTGGCTTCAGTGTCTTTAGAGTTGGGATCTCTTTTGTCATAATGTGCAGTTTTTACATGCCAACAGTAGACTCTTTACTAGAACTGAGTCCTCAGAAATATTTTAGTACATTGCAACCAGGAAAAGCCTCTTTAGCTTATTTTTGTCAAGCTGGTAAGTATTTTTAAAATTCTAATATGATTCTTGTGATGTTTTTATTGCTATTTAATCAATAAGCACAGTGGGAGATTACTGTTAAGATTAATAATATGTGCTATACAGCTGTTACTATAATCCTGACAGGGTTTGAATCCAGCTCCTGCCACTTGGCCTGTGGTGTGACCTTGGTTAAGTCACTTAGCTTCTCTGTGTTTTTCTTTCATCATCTGTTCACAAGAAACAGTACTTTATAAGTTTGTTGTGAGGATTAAATGATTTTACTTATATGCTTAGTTCATAGTAAATACAAGGTAAGAATTAGCTACTAACATAACATCTGAAAGAATACTTTCTCATGTTTTTAGCATGTGTTTTAAGTTTTTTAAAACTTTAAATGTAATACTTTAATACCCTGCTTTAGCTGTATTGTTAATTGTACTGAATTAACTAATATAACTATTGAACATAACACTGTTTTGATAGTCCAATTCAAGTCTTCATGTCTTAAAAATACTATTCTTGGAATTAATAAGTGAAGTGAGTACACATTTCTGTTGGCTCCCTTATTATAATTGTGATTCGAAAATGGTACTTTAAAATCATTTGGAAAGTTTTTATATGTGTACATGTGTGTTGGGTATATGGTATTAAATTTGGAGGAAAAATGCCAAATGTTAGGTTCAAATGAAACATCATATTCTTGTTTTAGTAAGTGTTTAAGGTCCATTTACAAAGTTAAAATACATCATGATAAAAACATTAGAAGTAAGAATAATGAGGCAATAGTAAAATAAGGGTGTGAAAATATGTAATGAGATATGTTTAATTAATTGTTGTTGTATGCTAGTTGGACAAATTATTCTGTGTTTGCAGATTTTAAAATTCATTTTTAAGGGGCAATTCATAAACATTCATGAAACATTTATTATTTTAGATTCCCCAAGAACATCTGTGTTTCTTGAAGAACTGAATGAGGCTGTTAGACCATTGCAGGACTATGGAATTTCAGTTGCCAAGGTAGAAAGATATTTATGTTACTAAAATATTAGTGACAAACATCTTACAACTTTATGGCTTAAGACTGAATATCTTAAAATACTTCCGTTTCATATCTTTTCCAAAGTGGAAATACATTTTTTCCAGAAGAATAAACAGCAGCACAGAATGATAGTTTCAGATTATTGTATAATATACTACATATAGAGGGGACAAAAAACTGTTTAAAAACTTTTAGCTTAGAATTTAACTTTATGTTGTAAACCATTCTATTGGGCCTGTGGTATCATTTCTCAAACCTATAGTTAGGTTTTTGTTCTGTTTTGTTTTGCCTAATGAATATTTCGTAATAGGTAGCCAAAATTCAACTGTTTTTAAATTTTTATTACACAAACTGCAGTAACATTTAAAATGGAGGTAATTAAATAGTTTTTTTTCTATTCTTATAACTCTTCATAATGGTTTGTGTTTCACTTTTTCGCGTTTATTTTTAGAACAAAGTTATAACAACTCAACATTACATATTTAATTGTTTTCTCAAAAAATGTTCAAACTTGCTATAGAGTATTATAGAAAATTTCCACATGCATCATGGATTACATAGATACATAAGCCTTTTATTTAATTTAAACTTAGAATTTATACATCAGACACCTGAATGAGAGGTAACCCGGTGATACTAAATTCTTTCAGGTTAATGTCTACCTGACTTTCTGAGTACATTTTTTCTTAGTTCATTAGCCTTCCTCTTCTAAGAGATGGCTGTTGTCACTCTTGGTCTCTGCAGCTAGAGTTCCCAGGGCAGACAGCACAGAAACGTTAACCAACATTGGCTGTATACCTTAAAAAGTACCTATTTTTTAAATGTGGCAATTCTGTATGTGTAGAGATCTCAATTAACTTTGAACAACTGATTTCACTGTAGAGTGATAATGGCAATCATCTCCAAGGATCTCTGAATAAAATTTTAAATTGAAACTTAGAAATGAAGCAGTAGGTTGGTAGGAAACTCAACAGGGATAATCATACTGTTTAGTTGGTAGACTGTCACTAAATAACTATGCATATAGTAACTGGAATAGAATGCTAGTTATTAAATAGAATAACTATGATCATTGTAATAGGAGAGATACAAATAAAGTGCCATAGAAGTTTTTTTTTCTGTTTTTCGAGACGGAGTCTCGCTCTGTCACCCAGGCTGGAGTACAGTGGTGCGATCTTGGCTCACTACAACCTCCTCCTCCTGGGTTCAAGCAATTCACCTGTCTCAGCTTCCCGAGTAGTTGGGATTACAGGCACATGCCACCATGCCTGGCTAATTTTTGTAGTTTTAGTAGAAATGGGGTTTCACCATATTGGTCAGGCTGGTCTCGAACTTCTGACTTCAGGTGATCTTCCTGCCTCAGCCTCCCAAAGTGCTGGGATTACAGGCGTGAGCCACCGTGCCTAGCCTATTGAAGTTTAAAGGGAAGAAAGCCCATATTTGATTTTTGAGGTGGAAAGTCACAGATGGTATTGGGAAAGATTTCACAAAAAGCAGCATTTAAGATTGTTTTCAGAAGTTAAGATTGCAAGAGGTAGGATGAAGAATATGCTAAAATATAAATGGACTACATATTCTAGTCAAGACAATGAATGTCAAGCTGGATACAATAACCCAAGAAAGCTGTATGCTATTTAGAGCTGTGTGTCTTGCCTAAATGTGTCCTTCCTTTTCTACCTGGTTACCACCTTGTTCCATAAGATTGTTCCATAAGATTGAATTCAGAAATAGTGCCTTTCTCTGGGTTATCTCATGCACTTGAATATGTGAACAATTATAGCACACAAATCAGAAAAAAATGTAAAGTACAAAATTTGACCTGAAACAAGCTGTAATGTTTAATTCTCCTTCTTGTTTCCCTAACCATTGCTATTTAGAAATGCATCCAAAATAAAGGCTTCAGAAATCTTCAAAGTAAATGAAGGGGAAAAAAAAGATATATTATACAAGTGATAACCAAAAGAAATCTAGTGTATCAAAGTAGATTTTAAACAAAAAGCTCTGTCATCCTTGATTTTTCTCTGATAAGTAATCCATCTACTACTTGGTTCTACTATGAGAACTTTTCAAATCTGACCACTTCCTGTACCTTCATTTTTACTTCTTCCTGCCATCTCTTCTCATTGGGGAAACCACAACAGCCTCCTAATAATTGGCCTTTCTTCCTTCACTTTGTCCCATGACAGACTTTTCTCCATATGTAGCCAGATGTGTCAGGATACATCACTACCATGCTGCGAAAGTCCTTTCATTGCAATTATGATCAAATAGAAACTTTTGAGTATGGTGGACACTGGCTTTGTCGCCGATCTCATTTTCTGACCCACCACTTTGTTCAGTTCGTTCTTATTACATAGTGGTCATCTTTCTGTTAGTTGAACCTGCTGGAGGTACTGTTACCACAGGGCCTTTGCAGATATTTTCCCCTCTGCTTAGAACTCATCTCTTTTACCTACTTGTGTATTTGTATGCATTACTCCATTTCTTCAGTTCTTTGTGCAAATGTCACCTTTTCAGAGAAGCCTTCCTTGATTTCCTCTCTAAAATGCCCTATCACATACTATCCCCTTGTAATTTTTTTTATTTATAGCACTTAACACTACATATTAATTAGTTTTTAAGTTATCTCTGTTTTATATTGTTCTAAAGCTAAATATTTTTATTTGGAACTTACCTGTACCCTAAATGACTAGAACAGTGACTGACATGGTAGACATTCAAATATATTTTGAATTGATGAATGAATGGACACATCTATTGTCATAATACCAACCATCCTTATGCTGTAACTTAAAAAAATTTTAAATTACATGTATTAAAATTTACTTTTTGGTTATGGCTATACTCTGACTTTAATTCTGATTCTCTATTTCTAATTTTTTAGTGTCGGTTCCTGTTTCGTACCTTTTTAAACAAATGTTACTTCTCCAGTTGTTATTCTTCTTCCTCAAATCCTATTAAAATTAAATTGAACAACAGGAAAACCCCCTCTTAAAAGAAACAAAAACCTTACCAAATGCGAAACAAAATAACTATTCTTCTAGTCTTAGTTTTGGTTAGTTAACCTTGGTGGCTACCCATTTGCCCCATCTAGAAACCCCTTCGCTCTTTTCTTCCTCTTTCCTCTTCTCCTCTATCCCAATCTGCATGTACACGCTCAGTCTTCTCCCTAGTTTTATGTATTGTATTTGTAAAAAGCCTTTTGAATGTCTTCTGTCCTTTTTGGCTTTACTTCTGGTCCAAGTCATCCTTGACCTATACTAATGTGATACTATTTTAAACTCTCCTTATATTTGTGTTCTTTTGCCTTCTGTTTATCTTCACGTTGTTGCCAAGATTGTTGTTATATATTTTTTTCACTTAGAGTTCAGATTATAAGCTATCCAGGGCTGGTATTGCTGTTCTGACATCATCATTGACTTAGTTCATTCTTTCTGTTGCGCCATCCTTAGCAAGTAGCTTCTTTAAAGATGCCTTATGGTCCATGATTGCTGTTGGTACTCCAGCTATCTTATCTATTTTTGGTCAAGAAGGAGGGAAAAGAGCAAAAGTATCAGCCCGCTTTTAAGAGCCTTTTAGGAGTTCCAACCCAGTGACTCTTCCTAATACCATTTAGCCATTGCAGGCTGTTGGGGAGGCTGGGAAAGCCTGTTAATGAAATACTTGCTTTTAGCAAAGTTCTGTTAGTAAACAAAAGGGAAGGATGAATTTTGGGTGGGGACCCAGCAGTATGTGCTACCTCTGTGTTCCACCTGCTGAGATGCTTTCATCATCCCAAGTTAGCACTCACTTTCGTGCTTCCTGGCTTTTGCTCATACTTTTTGTCTTGCCTTAAATGTGTCCTTCCTTTTCTACCTGGTTGCCACCTACTTGTTCCATGAGACTGAATTCAGAAATAGTGCCTTTCTCTGGGTTATCTCATTCACTTGAATATGTGAACAATTATAGTATACAAATGAGAAAAAAAAAGTAAAGTACAAAATTTGACCTGAAACAAGCTGTAGTGTTTAATTCTCCTTCTTGTTTTTCCAACCAAGAAACTTGACCTTTTGATATATATGCTAAAACTTAAGTATATTCTTTTAAAGGTTAATTGTGTCAAAGAAGAAATATCAAGATACTGTGGAAAAGAAAAGGATCTGATGAAAGCATATTTATTCAAGTAAGCTATTTTCCTGAGTGTGCTGGACAAATATAAAGCTATACTTCTAGAATATTTAAATATGTAAAATATCACTGAGCTAGAATAAAGTTATATGTAGGGGGGATCATGTAAAGCTTAACCAAAAGTCCAAGTGATAGATTTGTTACCTAACCTCTCTGTACTTTAACTTCCTTATTTATAAAACAGAGAGTAATACCTACCTCACAAGGTAGTTTTGTGAGGCTCTTGTGTAAACTCCTACAACAAATGCCTGGTAAGCAAGTGCTTACCAAATTTAGTGTTCTGGATAGATATGTCAGGTCCACATTTGGGTGTGTGAAATAAATGTACTTTATTTTTGAGAGATCTGCCAATCTCTCTGCACTTAGGTTTGATCTACCTGAGGTTTCTCAAATCCTTGGAATTTGGCTGAAGAAGTGGGGAGAGGTCCTGTTTTCTCAGGGACCCCCTGAGGACACTTTTTTCCTTCTTGCTTTCATCCCAGTCTAATTTGGGGAATTTATGTGTGTGTGTGTGTTGATTGTGAGTTGGGGAGATTGGTAGGAATCCTTGTTTGGACTCATATTTTTTTCTAGCCTTTTTGCCAGGTCCAGAGCCTAGGCTTTTCAAAGTTAATGTATTTTTTGAGAACGTTGTATTATGTGCCAGGACTCTGGTAGGTATGTGGATAAGACACAGGCTGTAACATCAAAGACCTTATAAGCTAATGTATTTGATAGACAAGTAAATTGAATCTAAGGAAATATTGTTGTGTTTTTAAATATTACTGTGTTTTAAAACTTTTTATAGGGGCAACATACTGCTTAGAGAATTCCCTACTGACACCTTGTTTGATGTGAATGCTATTGTCGCCCATGTTCTCTTGTAAGTACAGGGGCTACCTATTCATTTGTTTACTTGTTACTTATTTATTGATTTCATTTTAAATAACCACAATTCATTAAAATATTTCAGGGTTTTAACATTATATTTGTAGGCAACAATTTAACACAAATTACTAATCTATCTTCCCACATCAAGGATCTAAAATTTTTTTTAATGGCAAGGTATACAGAAACATGGAGATACTTTTGTAAGAGTAGGAGATGACTCAACAAAACCATATCAAGTGAGGTCCAACTGGTGGAGTGAGGATTTTGCCAGATATCTTAGTCTGTTCAGGCTGCTATAACAGAATACCATAGACTGGGTGGCTTATAAACAACAGAAACTTGTTTTTCACAGTTCTGGAATCTGGGAGGTCCAAGATCAAAGTACTGGCAGATTTGGTGTTGGGTCAGGGCCCCTAGTTTGTAGCTGGTCATCTTTTCCCTGTGTCCTCACATGATGAAAGGATAAAGGAGCTCTCTCGGGGTCTCTTTTATTAGGGCACTAATTTCATTCATTAGGCTCTGCCCTTGAATGAGGTCATTAGGCTCTGTCCTTATGACCTCCTAATATCATCATATTGGCATTTAGAATTTCAACGTGAATTTTGGGGAGACACAAACATTTAGACGATGGTACCAGGTAGGACCCTCATCTTTGTTTTTTATTTTTTTTAATTTTTTTTTTATTTTGAGATGGAGTCTTACTCTGTCACCCAGGCTGGAGTGCAGTGGCATGATCTTGGCTTACTGCAACCTCCACTTCCCAGGCTCAAGCGATCCTCCCACCTCAGCCTCCCGAGTAGCTGGGACCATAGGCATGTGCCACTCATCTTCGTTATTCTCATGGGGATTTTTTAAGTACCTGGCTTTCTTCTTATCCCAGCTGGATTTCTTTCTGGATTCTCTAGCTCTGTACCTGCCCAGTTAGTATGGAAAGAGTTTGTCCCAGCACATACCTCAGTGTTTACTGAGAGAGAAAGTTTAAGTTTTCTGGCCTGGAATCTCCATGCCTGATATTTAGGTCTATCTGGGGACCATTCTTGGAATCTTTCCCTGAATTAAGTCTGATATTCTCTTCCGTAACAGAGCTAGAAAATATAACTTGTTAAGGACACAGGTTTACATGGACTTTTCCAATTTAATGTTATAAGCCTGTTGTCCACTAAGACCTTTGCTGACATTGACGGTCTTTTTCTCCTTGGGTCTCCTCTTCCTCTCTTACCTACAAAAATTGGTAGTTTAACTCCTGGAAATTCAAAACTTACAGGTGAAAAGTTGTGCTTATCACTTTACAAATGTTCCAGTCCCAATAATATGTTAACAAAAGGCCTTTAGAAATTCCTGACAACCATGGGCCCTGATATTTGTAGACTAAGGAACCAATTGTAATGAGTGAAGATGGTCTTTTGAGGAAGGAATTCCTTGGAATCCCTTTCCTGGGACAGAGGGGTAGCCATCTTGATGGTGGGGGTTCTATGAAGCTTAGAAGAAGTCCAAGTATTAGATATGACATTTGTTCTCAGGAAGCTTACTAGTTAGCAGCTGTTTTTCCAGTGGATACCTGATGACCCAGAAATGAGGGTGAAGAAACAGAAAAAAAAAGTCTTTTCATAAAGTATGAATCCACATTTGACACCAAATCCTGGAGTGGCATATCCACATTGAACAACTTGATGACAAGGTGGTTTTGAAACAGCTGGCGCTAGATATGGAGAGGCTGTCAGCACTGAGGACTGTGTTACCTAAACTGGTTACCCCATGAGGCTCAGCTCATTCAATCCTCCTTTAGTAGTGTCCTGTTCTAAGTGCTGTACTAATGCTGATTTATAGAACTTGAAATCCACAAATAGATTATTCCCCATGTTCCTGCTGTGTGCCAGACACTTGTTAGACATTGGCTATAAAAAACAGAATAGGATATGGCTTCTGTTCTCTAGGAATTTAGTGTTGCACAGACAGATACAGAAACAGGATCTATTATTAATATGTGATAAGTAAGGAACATAGTAGAAGTATGTATGCATAAGGGCTAATGGATCCACAGAGAAGGGAATAGTTACTCATGTCTAGAATGAGGGTGGATATTTATTAGGTGGGCTTCCTGAAGGAAGTGGCAGTTGGGATGAGTGTTAAAGGATAAGTACTTGGTGAAAAAGGGGAAGATGGGAAAAGCAAGAGGAACTTTGTGACAAAGGCATAGAGCAGCCATGTTCAATCTTTTTTTTGGCTTCCCTGGGCTGCATTGGAAGAAGAATTGTCTTGGTCCGCACATAAAATACACTAATGATAGCCGACAAGCTTAAAAATATTTGCAAAAACATCTCATAATGTTTAAAGAAAGTTTACAACTTTGTGTTGGCCCATATTCAAAGCTGTACTGGGCTGCATGTGGCCCATGAGCCACCACAGGTTGGACAAGCTTGTCATAGAGGTTAGAAGTAGTTGGGAGAAGGTGGTGGTTTTACCAGAGTATAAAATGTGAAGCAGGAGATAAGAGTAGAAGAGTAGACATGGGGTCAGAGGAAGGGAATTTTTATTTTCCCTTTGTATAAGCTTAGGCTTTTGGGTAGCCACTGAAAAGTGAGGAGTCCAGCTCTAGGCCAACATCCTTATGTGATCTTTCAGGCCTGATCATATGCAATATTCCAAGGCTATACCTGTCAAACCTTTATCTATTATATAAGAGGTATAATATATATACACATATATATACCTAGGTATTATATATATGTATGTACACACAAATACATATATAGGTATTTTATATATAGTATATAATAGATATATATAAATATATGTAATAGGTATTATATATAAATACATATAATAGGTATTATATATAAATATGTAGAATAGGTATTATATGTAAATATGTAGAATAGGTGTTATATATAATTATATAGAATAGGTATTTATATAATTATAGTAATTACTAATATCTATTCCATATAATTATAATACATATTATATATTATAATATAGGTATTATACATAATTTATGTAACATGTATTATGTAATAATTTATATAATAGGTATTATAATAATAGGTATTATATATAAATACACACATATATATACCTTGGTATAATATATATACCAGTATATGAAAGATTGATTTCTGCATACTAATTTTGTGTCTTTCAATCTTATGGATTTTTATTATAAATTGAAAAATGAACTAGTTACAACTATTATACTTATTAATAATAAGCAAAATAGTATTTCTCTTATATTAAGGATATTATTACTGTAACTTATTACTAAGCAATTTTTTCTGTTTATATTCTTGCCTTTTTTCTAAGATACTCTTATCTACTATTAGATATGTACATAAGAGCTGTATATATGTGTCATATATAATTCTACATTTACATTTTATTAGTCAGTAAACAGGCAAGTCAAAATTTCCTGGGATTGCCTCCGTTTACAAAAATTCATTGACATACATATGAAAATATATTAATTTTAACTATTCCATTATTTTTGATCTAAATCCACTACTTAGCCTAATAATAAGAAGAAATATTTACAGATGTTTGGATTTTTCTCAAAATACTTGTTTATGAACTAAAAGCTTGCATTACAGAATATGTGTTACTTTATTTGCCTTGCTTTTTAAAAATGTGTAACCCATGCTATTACTTTTATCCCAAAGCATTTGAATTGTTTCTTATTTAGAATGTTTTACTCTGGACCAGTGACCTACAGTTATACTTGAACTTTGCTACTTCGTCAACAGAAAAGATCAACGTTTTAGATAATTTGTTATTTTCAGAATATGGAATTGAAGAAAAAATTAAGTTAGTGAAATCTGAGATAGAATAACAAGTATAAACTTAGGATTATGTTTATACTAATTGTTAATATCTGAAACATATATTTTTGGACCATTATTGTCAATTATGTACCTTTTTTGGTAGGATATTTACAATATTGCTGAAACATCATTGATTTAAAATATAGTGACTTGCCAGTCTATTAAAATTTTCTCGCATTGATTTTGCAGGATATAGTAAGTGAAATACATCAAATGGTTAGGGCATAGCATAATACTTTTTACATAGGAGAGGGGGTGTTAAGTCCAAAACTCTGAAGAGTCTGAGTTGTTACCCTACTTGTGTGTCTGTGTTTTTTATATATATATATGTTATACACACATAGAAGACCTCTGAATTAGAGAACTGACCTTACAGCAATAACAGCAGCCAGAGTAGCATGGTAGTGCTATCTTCATAGCTAGTTCTCTGCAGAATGACAAGGCAAGAGTCAGATGCTTATTCCTATACATAGCAAGGTTTGACGGAGAACTTCAACATTATTAATATCCGAGTTTATATAGGAGCTGACACACTTACTCTTCCCCTCTGAAAAGAAAGTGCTTATCTTTTACTGTGGAATGTAAGAGCAGAAGAGGAAGGCCTCTATCCCTAAATATAAGCATTTGACTCTGGGGAAGAGAAGATAGTGTGTAGAAAAAACAAAAATTATTTTTCCTTTGTTCCCACAAAGCATAGAATACTTCTGCGACCAGATGTTTGAGGAGTCTTCTCCACACACCAACCCTGTAGCTGACATCAGTGGGGTGTCCTGTCATTCAATTCTGAGGGTACCTACCTGAAGATAGTATCAGATCCTGCATGTTGAAGGCCAAGTCCCCAAGACTGCCCCCTACCTGAGATGCCAGTCACATAGGACAGAAGCTCCCATGCTTCTGTCTGAACAGCTATAAATTTGGGTTCTCATGGCTCCAACAAGCCCCTCATCGGGCTTGGCTATTTCTCTAGAGTGGCTCACAGAACTCAGGGGAACAATTATTTGCGTTTATTGGTTTATTACAAAGGATACAGATGAAAAGATGCATGGGGCAGGGCACATGGGAAGGGGCGTGGAGCTTCCATGCCCTCCCCTGATGTGCCACCCTCCAGGAACTTCTGTGCATTTTGCTATCTGGAAACTTCAAGCTCTGTCCCTTTGGGGTTTTATGGAGACTTTGT